TCCTGCGTGGGGATTCGGTCATTGTGGTCCTGCGGAACCCACTCATCGCTGGCAAGTAGGGGCTTCCTCCCTGCTGTCAAAACTTACTTTCCAGTCCTGCAAAGGACCGGCCCTTTGGCATGAGAACAATAAATTCCTGTGTTTTTTCTAGTGGCATCTGTCTGTTCCTAGGGCCTTGTGAGTGGTGCAGACTTGGGGAGGGAGACAGCTGGGCATGGGGCCAGGCACTGGGAACAGGACCTCTCTGAGCAGGTGAAGAGGCCCTATCTCTGTCCCTTCCATGCCTCAGTTTCCCCATCTGTGAAGTGAATCGGTTGGACAGAGGAAGCTTTCGCTCTTTCCTATTGTAATCTTTTCTAGCTTCTCATCTCTCCTTTCTCTCTGCCTCTCAGTGAGTCAACCTTGCTCAAAAGTTTGTCTATTTTCTTACTGTTCAGTCAGGGAAATATTCTCTAATGACTTCCTCTGTGTCCAGCTTTGTTTCGCAATCCTGGGAACAAACACATCAGTGCCTCGGACAGCCCCCCCAACCTGCTGGGTGGCTCAGTTGGTTAGAGCATCGTCCCGGTATGCCAGGGTTGCAGGTTCAATCCCCAAGTCAAGTCACATACAAGAATCAACCAGTGAATGCATAAATGAGTGGAGCAACAAATCGATGTTTCACTCTCTGCCCTCCCTCTCTCTATTTCCCCCTTCCTCTCTCTCTCAAATCAATAAGTAAAAATTTTTTTTAAAAGTCCAATAACATCAAGTGATGGGTTCCAGGTGTCTACCTTTCCCTGGCCACTCACTCACTATTTCATGCTTTCTCTCTTGATGTTTCTCAGTCTCAAAAAAATCAATAAATTAAAAAAATAACTAACTCAGCCGGTATGGCTCAGTGGATCGCACATGGTCCTGTGGATAGAGAGGTCCTGGTTCAGTTCCCAGTCAGGGGACATGCATGAGGCAGCCTGTCAATGTTTCTCTCTTATGTCAATGTTTCTATTTCTCCCTCTTTCTCTAAAAAAGTCAATAAAAACATGTTTAAAAAATATATATATATCTATAAGAAAAAATAAAGTCTTCAGTACCAAAGTACTGATGGCAATTATGCTGTCGCCTGCTGAGCTGTTAGGGTGCCAGCTCAGAGCAGGCACTTATTTATTACCTCCATTTCCCAGGGACACCCAGCCAGGAAGTTGTTTGCTCTAATTCAAACCCACCTTGCTCCTGAGCCTGTGGCTTCTCCCCTGAGCTCTGCTGTCCCTCACATTACAACTTAATTACCATTGAGGGAAATTCTCTGACAAACGCAGGAAGGTAGAGATGAGGAAGGAGGGCCTTACTTATTGGGGGATTAGGGGACACCTCTGTTTTCCTCTGATGTACACACATCACACTCTCCCCCATTGAAATTGCTGTGTTCTGTCTCTGCCTGCATCTGTCTCTGTTCCCAAATAGGGCCTAATGCCAGTGGTTCAGGAGTTCGCAGGCCTGAAGTTGGTCAGTGACTGACACTGAGCTGTGGAACACAGCCTGAGTTACCCTGTGAGCTGATTAGTGGCTGAGCTGGGGATCTGTAGCTGGAGAGGACCTGACATGCACAGAGAAGCGCTGTGGGGTTAAAGGCACACATTTGCTGTGCGGTGTAATCAGTAGATACTGGAGCCATCCCATTTTACAGATGAGACAGCTGAGGCCCAGAGGGTAATGACTTGCCCATGGTCACTCGGGAAATAATGGAGCTGTGTTCAAACTCGGAGCCAGACCTTCATGAGCCATCTATTGTCGGGGAGCAGGACAGAGCCACAGTGTCCTGATCTATAAAGTGGGAGCAGTGGTGCCCTGACTAGTGTGGCTCAGTTGGTTGGAACATCATCCCATACACTGAAAAGGGGCTGATTTGATTACAGTTCAGGGTTGTGAGTTTGATCCCCAGTTGGGGTATGTATGGGAGGCAACCAATCGATGTTTCTCCTCCTTTCCTCTCTAAATCAACAAAATCATATCCTTAAAAAATAGAAAAGTGGGGGCTGTGGTGATGCCCAGGAGACTTCCTTGGGGATTTGGTTCTTTTGCAGGAGTAAGGACAGCACAAGCTCTTGAGTCCCAGTCTTGTGTTCAAATCTTTCCCACCTCCCCCTGGTTGTTGACTCGTCCCTCTTGGGGATGGGACTTGTTTATTCTGCCTTTCAGGGTGGCAGCAAGGTTTCAACCCTGCATCCTGCTTGGCATCAATCTGAATTTCTGTCCACCTGTTCACCCACCTTGCTGCCCAAATGGTTCCTAATCACCTCTTTTTCAGTGGTGAAAGCAAAAGCAGAGGCCGCAGGAATAGCACTAGGCACATGGACCAAGCATTTACCATCCATCATGTACCAGGTAGTATTGTAATAACTCATCGGGCCCGGCCAGTGTGGCTCAGTGGTTGAGCGTCATGCCGTGCACCAGGAGGTTGCCTGTTCCGTTCCTGGTCGGGGCACATGCCCAGGTTGTGGGCCCAATGCCCAGTGTGGGACATGCAGGAGGTGGCCAGTCAATGTTCTCTCTCATCGATGTTTCTATCTCTCCCTCTCCCTTCCTCTCTCTCTAAAATCAATGAAGAGGGAAAAAATTTAAAAAAAAAAAAAAAATGATCGGAAACTCAGGCAAGGTACCATTGTTATACCCATTTTTCAGAAGTGGGAAATTTTCCCCGAGTCACACGGCTTAAAAGTAGCCAAACTAAGATTTGAACCAGGCTGTTTTTTGTTTGTTTTGCTAAAATGGCAAGATTTGTATTATGTATATATTTTTCCACAATAAAAAACATGGTTGAAAAAGGAAGGGGTTGGGAGTGGGGAAGAGGGGGTCAATGGGGGAAAATGGGGGACATCTGTAATACTTTCAACAATAAAAAAAGTAAATAAAAAACATGGTTGTAATATATATAAATAACATTGGCTGACGCCATTTTGGACTCAGCCTGTCTGCTTTACAGATGTCCTGAATAAAATTCTGTTCAGAAAAATAAAGGATAATATATATGTTCTTCCACAGCTAAGCACTTAATAACCAAACAATCAAACACTTGATTTTAAGACTTGAGGTTCATTTATGCTTGTAGCTTTACTCCTAATACTACCTTTCTAGAGAAACAACCCTCAGAAAGTGCACATACCAACACACGTACATACATGTGAAATTTTAATTGTACACATTGCAGATAGTTAAGCATCAGGAGATCACATGAACATTCCCAATTGGGGCTTCTCTTAGGCAGGGGCACAGTGGCAGCACGGTGTCCATGTTGATGTCTATGTTACGGTGACACGTAGCTGAAGGTGAGCAGTGCTTCCCTCCAGGGGGTATGTGGCCACCACAGGCTCCCAGCCATGCAGCCCATCTTAGACATTTCCCTTTATGGCCTGGCCGAAAAGATTTCTCTCTCTCTCTCACTCACCAGAAAACAAAACAACTGTTTTTCATGCTTTATTCACAAGAACCCTGCCTTAGGACCCCAGGCCTCCCAGAACCCACAAGGGAGGCCCAGTAGGGTCACTTCATGCTTAAAGAACTCGAGTTTATCTGTCTAGGGAGCTGGAGACCCAAGGAAAAGAATTGACAACACCCAGGTACTAACTGAATCTGTGTATCTGCGAGGAGGAAGGATTCGAAGTAAGAGTCTTGTATGTGTGCAGGTGGTCCAGCTCTTGGCTTCCCCCAATTCTCCCAGTGCCCAGGGGCCACACTCCCCAGCTAGCAGTGGTCCTGGCCTCTCTGGATGCAAGGTTTCAGCTGAGACCTGCCCTAAATTGCCCATGTTTGTATCTATACAGAATCCTCCTCTCTGGACCCCAGTGGGCTCACACTTCTGTCTCCAACTCAAACCTCTCCAATGAGTTCCAGACCTTTAGTTCCAACTTAACATGTCCAAAGAGCACTCTTGGTTCCCCCCATCATGAATGTAATCTCCCTCTCTTGTCTCTCTCCAGGGTCTCAAACCTACGAGTCTTCCTGGGCTTCTCTCCTTGCTGAACTTTCTCATACAATCCATTGCCAAATCCTCTGTTCTACCTTTAAAATAGCTCCAGAGTCCAACTGCTTCACACTCCTCCATGGTTACCACCCTGGTTCAGCCACCATCACCTCCCCACCTGCAGTCCTCTCACTGGGCTCCCACCTTCCACCTCTGCCCCTGATAATGCGTTCCTCTACAGGGCAGACAGAAGGCTCTGTTTAAAATATTAGCCCATGAACCCAGCTGGTGTGGCTCAGTGGTTGAGTGTCAACCTGTGCACCAAGAGGTTGCCGGTTCGATTCCTGGTCAGGTCACATGCCCAGGTTGTGGGCCAAATCCCCAGTGAGGGGCATGCAGGAGGAGGCCAGTCAATGTTCTCTCTCATCAGTGTTTCTATCTCTCCCTCTCCCTTCCTCTCTAAAATCAATAAGGAAAAGAAAATTTTTTGTTTTTAATTAGCCCATAAGCCCTGGCCAAGGTAGCTCAGTTGATTAGAGCATTGTCCCAATACACCAACGTTGTGAGTTTGATTCTGTCAAGTTACATACAAGAAGCAACCAATGAATAATGCATAAGTAAGCGGAACAACGAATCGATGTTTCTCTCTCTTTCAAATCAATACATTAAAAACACAGGTTAGCTTATGAGATGCTCCTACATTCTTATTTTCAATGCACCTGGAATAAAAACCCCAACTCTACCCCTGCCCACTTCTCTCTCCATTTATTGACTCTGACCCAGCCCAGCTCCAGTTCCTTTTGCCTAGAATCTTGCCTGCCAGTTCTTCCCAAAGCTGTCTCCTTCACTTCTTATAGATATGGCTTAAATGTCACCTCCGCAGAGATGCCCTCCCGGTCCACTCTAGGCCCCTTTCTAATTTTTCTCTATAAGCCACTTGTCTTCACAGTGTGTGCCCCCCCCTCCCACTCAACTGAACTCTAGGAGAACAGGGGCTTTGTTTCTGTTTCTCCCTCCTACCCCCATTTCTCCAGCTCTCTCCACAAGGGGTCTAGTACACAGTAGGCGCTCAATAAATACGTGCTAACTGAATGATCTCAGGAATCCCGCTGCCTAGCAGTAACTTTCCAAGACCCGGCTGGCCTCATCCCCAGGCCCTGGGAGGTTCCCTGAGGACAGGGCGCGGCCAGTGGCGACCTGGCCGATTCCGGAGCCCAGGGGCAGGATCGGGAAGGCACGCTCCGGGGGCTGGCGCGGCTCCTCGCCAAGGCTGCGGCGCAGGCGGCAGCGGTGCCAGCCGCGGCGGATCTCAGTCTGCACCTGCAACGGGTCGGCGCTCAGAGGCGGAGCTAGGCACGCCGTTCCCTGCGCGGCCGCCAGAGGGCGCCGGCGGCGCGCCGGGGCTCTCCCTACCTCCTTGTTGATGAAGCAGTAGAGGAAGCTGACCAGCAAGCCCTGTCAAACAAGGCACGGGGTTAAATTGAGGGTTGGGACAGGATTATAAACATTTCTTTCAAAGCTTTGCCAGGCCCCAGACCACCTTAGCCGCCCTTACCCTGGTCCTAGACTTTTGCATTCACCTCCCTGGCTCCTCGCTCCCATCCCTAGCCCTTCCCCGTTTGCTGAGCAATAAAAGAAGACCCTGGATGTGATAACCACTTCCCTACTTTCTATCCCACTGAGGCAAGCTGCTTAACCCCACTGGGCCTCAGTTTCTTTATCTGGAAAATGCGGTAATACAATGGTGGTTGTGAGAACTGAGGTATTAATACGCAAGAAGCTGTAGTGCCTGGCACGTAATGTTAAACCTTTTTCTTAAGCTTATTATGACTTATCTTACCGTTATTAAACAGTATTACATTATTATTAAGTATTAATAATAAACCAATCGTTTATCATTATTAATATCAATATTAATTTTAATTATTACCGGTCGTAAATTATTAATAAATTAATTTTAATAATTTTTGTTTCCCATGTAAATTTAAATAAATATAAAATGATGTTTATAATTACTTCATAAATGAATACAAATCAAGTATTTATTTATGTTATTGGTAAGATATTACTTGTCTCATCTTCCCCTTGATCCCGCTGGCTCCCACTGCTTCAGGCACTGCCTTCCTCCACCATGACAGATACTCTCCCACCTCAGGGATCTTACACTTGAGGCTTCTCTTACTGGAACATACCCCCCAAGTACCTACCTCTCTCATTCCCTCACCCGTCTGTCTCTGCTCCAATATCTTCTCAGGGAGAACTCCCTGACCCCCTGTCTGCAACCCCATTTCTTTGTCTGATCTTCACCTCTATTTTCTTGTCCCCCTCCCCCCAGGCACATCTTGCCATCTGCCATTCTGTATATTTTATTTATATACCATGTATAGCATCTGTCTCTCCCAGTAGAGGGTAGAGACTATTTGGTTCTTGGCCGTATCCCCACAGTGAGCTAGGAAAAGTGCTTAGCATATAGTAAGTTTTCAATAAATATTTGCTGAATTTAATGAAGTGAACAGGCTTGTGGGGTGACACTGCTGTCCCCAATTTAGAGATGAGAAAACTGAGGCCCAAGGAGGTAAAGCAGGGTGGGGGCTAGGGTCAGGGCAAGCAAGTGCAGGGTCAGCCTTAAATTTTAGAATGAGTGCCTCTTTATATTTTGCATTTTAAGCATCTCTTTGCACACCCTAGCTCTGACCCTGAGGTGACAGTCACAGACCTGAATTTGGCCCCAGCCCTGTCCGGTTTCAAAGCCCTAGATCTTCACCAGGAGGTAGGACTGCTGAGGTCACCCATCTCCTGCCTCGGTCCCTGCTGCTTCCTCAGCTCAGGACAGCGCCAGCTCAGTATTATGTGTAGAATGAATGAACCAACTCCCATCCTCACTCCCAATTCAGTGGCTGCGACAGAGGATGACTGTAGCCCTCCTGCCCCTCTGGGGAAAGGGGCCCCAGGTGGGAAGGTGTAGCCCCTGCACCCAGCCTGAGCACCTGGAAGGAGCTGAGGAATATCTCAAAGCTGAGCTTGGCAAAGCGCAGGTGGCCCCGGGCTTGTTCCTCTGTCACGGGAGCAAACACCACTTCGTGGACGCCCAGCAGGGGCACCAGCGTCAGCGTGGAGCGAGCCAGCCTGGGAGAAGAGGGTAGCAGTGGGCCTGCGGTCCCTGGTCCCCATCTCGCATCCGGCCCCCTTCCCCTCCTTCCCACCTCCCTCCCCCACCTCAGCCTGTAGTCCGGGCAGCGCATCTGCTGCGTCTTCAGCTTGGAAACGAGGACTCCAAGGATGCGGATAAAGATGAAGAAATTAATCTGCGAGGAAAGATAGAGGCTGAGCCAGCCCCATCCTGTCCTGGGAGGCAGAGGATGGCGCCCCTCTTCCCAGGACGGGAAATCCCTGAGGACATCGGTCTGGAGGAGGCGGGGCTGGCCGTACCAAAATGGACAAGAGGATAGGGGTGCGTATGATCCACCAAATGGCCTTGACTTCGTTCCGCTCCCAGCACCTGGAGGACGGGTTGTAGAGCTAAGACATTAAAAACCGCTAGACGCACGGGTCACGCGTTCACTCGCCAGGCCCCGCCCACCTCCCTTATTGCAACGCCCACATTCCTTTAAAGCCCCGCCTGCTACTACCCTGGCCCCGCCCTCACCCCGCCCCTTCAAATTGTCCTTGACCACAATCTTTCCAAGCTGCCATTCCTTTAGACCCCCGCCCACGTTCCCTCCAAGCCCCCAGGTGCCATCAGAACCACCCCACGTTTTCATCACACCCGCCCAGGTGCCTCAAAGCCCCATCCACCTCCCAGGCCCCGCCCAGACCCCGCGACTCACTGCGTGTTCTCGTACAGGTACCTGACGATCACCCACGGAATGACGAAAAGCGCGGGGGCCCCTGTGCAGACCCCGACCCCCGCCCCCCACCCCGCCGCAGCTGTCAGCACGCGCACGGGCCCCGCCTGGCCCAAGACCCGCGGAAATTCCCCCGCCGAGGTGGGGAGGCAAAAGCCTAGAGAAAGGAAGAGACCCCTGAGGCAGACCAGCAGGGTGGTCGGGGAGCGGTGGTGCGCTAGGCTGGGCAGGGGGCAGGGGACAGGGTCGGGGCTCACCCCAGCCCAGGAGCAGGTAGCCGCGGAAGTGGCCCCCCTCGGAGCCTCCCACCAGCACCAGCAGGCTGTGCAGGTAGATGCCCTCCACCAGCAGCCACGTGTAGTTGGCACCCACGCAGTACTGGGTCACGATCTGGGCCGTTCTGCAGGTGGCGAGAGCCTAGGGAGTGGCCAGACCGGAGAGGGGGCAGTTAGGGCCAACAGGGTGTCCCCAAGCTTTCCTGCACCTGGTCGTCCTTCCACCCCCACCTCTTGTCATCAAATATTCTCCCAGTCTGTGTCACTACAGGACAGTACCTGTGCTTGGTTTCTCTCACCCTATAATATGGGCCCTATAAGAACTCTCCCGCTCTAACCTCTTAAACGGCTGCTATCTTCCATCTCACTATCAAAGTTCCCCCAGACACCCCCAAATATGGCCTCTCCCACTCCATCTCCTTCTAAGAATTGAACTCAACTACTCCACCTATCCAAAGGTTTCTCCCAGCATGAGGACTCTCCCACCCCACACTCCCTAACAAGTGGCATGGCCCAAGTTGCTACCAGATAGTTTTTCTCTCCTCTATCCCCAGCCTCTAGTCTCTCTCACCTTGTTTCTCAGTAACAAACTGGTATCTACCAAATCCTCCCCACCAGTTGGTCTCTCCCATCCTGCTGCCTCCTCACCTCCACAGAAAACTCTCACTGGTGGAGAAGACCAATGATTGGTAATATAATGAAAGAGAATGGAAAATTCCAATAAAGGAGGGGATGGGGTCAACAATGGAGGAGGCCAACTTGGGAGTCTCTCTCCAAAAGTATTTGGAGTGGTCAAGAGAGAAAAACTGTGGATAGCCTAAGGGATAGTAAAGAGATTGGGGAACTCCTGGCCCACCAGAGGAGGCAGAATCCCAATTTGAGGAGAGGGATGATGCTCACCTTGTTCCACAGGATAGGAGCCTGGTCCCCAGGGGAGGGGCCAGGTAGGCGTAGCAGCCAGTCTCGGGTGAGGATGGCTGCTGCCCGCAGCATGAAAGATGTGAACAGGTTGATGTGGATGTAGTTGCGAGTGCAGCGCAGCCGCCTGGGGATTTGGGAAGCAGTCTGGAGACTCATGGAGACCTGTCCTTGGCCACATCAAGCCCCTTAAACGACCTCCCAGCCCTTCTTCCCACAGAACCACTATAGGGTGCTTGATGCTGGTGGAGCCTGGCCACCTCATCTTACTCGTAACACTGAGGCCCAGTCTTTGCCTCTGCTACTCATGGTTGGGGGAGGGGGTCCCACCTGAAGAAACTCAAGATGAGCAGGGCTAGCAACAATGTGGCCAGGGACAGGGAGTAGCCCACGGTGTACACAACCTGTAGCCGCTCCAAGATCAGCCTTTGGTCCTGGGGGTAAGGGGGATGACACAAGAGCAGCGCTCAGCTCTTCCCCCAGGGCCAGGAAGGGGCTGGAAGAACATTTATCTGCTCTTTGTTCCTGCCCCAGCAGCCCAAATTTCTCTTGGGAATTTAACTACCCTTATTTCAGTGAGGTTAACTCCACTCCTCAGTTCCAGGACTGAACATGTGACCAGCCAATCAGAGCATTCAAACACACACACACACACACACACACACACACACACACACACAGTGATTAGTCCAGGGTGGGCATATGGTCCAAACCAGGCAATAAGAGATAAAAGTCAGTCCGATAGGTTTGGCCCAGGTGGGTACTTGAAATAGCAGGGGAATCACTTTGTAAACTATATGGTTGTTTAACCACTATGCTGTACACCTGAAACTAATATAAACTAATACTGAGTGTCAACTGTAATTGAAAAATAAAATTTACAAAAGAGTCTGTCCTGGGACATTATGCTGGAACCATTGAGAACAAAGCTCAGTCTCCCCATAGTGTTGCTTGGTTGGTGGGATGTGAGCCTGGTGCTTATACCCCACAGAAAGATGAGACCAATACAGAGAAAAACATAGGCATGATATGGTGAGCAACAAAGATTCCCAGCAACATCATTTGAGCACCTAGATCCAGCTGTGCCTGAAGCTGTGTGTGGCCTTATACTTTTCAATCACAAAAGTAAATACATTTTTCCCCCATCAAGCAAGTTAAGTTGAGTTTCTATCACTTGGAACCCAGAGTCCTGAAGAGTGCAAGGGGTTTCAGACTGGTCTGAGGCTGCTGCCTTTTCACTTCTCCCTGGACATCCAACCTGAAGCCCGCACCTCTTCTTACCTGAAAGGTCCCATTTTTCTCTGGGTCCTCACACTGAGAATGGTCTCTCCAAGGTCCCCATTGGCCATCACTGCCACACTGGCGGAGGACAAAGCCGGTGGCCACTGTGGGGAATCGAGGGAGGGGATCAGAGGCACAGAGAAAGACAGATGGAGACAGAAAGACCAACTGGGAGACAACTGGGAGAGAGAGCCAATGTGATGATGATGATGATAATGACGACGACGACGACGACTATGATGATAAGCCCTTATATGGATTTTTACACGTATTGATTTAATATTCATAAGAAGCCAATGAAGTTGGTACTATCATCAATCCCATTTTACAGATGAGGAGACTGAAGCATAAAGAAGTGAAATAAACTGCTCTGGACCACACAGCTAGTTAGGACAGGAAGACCGGAATACCCAGAGACAGACTCAGAAAAAAAGGAGAGAAAATAAGAACCCAGAGGTCCTCAGAGAGATACAGGGACAGAGAAGGGGCATTATGTGACAGATCTAGGATCAGGGTGACCCAGCCAGGGTTGGACAGACAGAGGAGACACCCAGCTGGACAGAGAGGGGCAGGAGATTGGGTGTAGGTGAGTTTCAAGGAAGTGGTGTCTGGGGCAAGGGTTAGGAGCTGTTTATGTCAGGAAGGGCCCACAGCCCAGGGGACACCTCACCATGATGGTGCCAGGGCAGGTACCAGGGGCAGGATGCTCGGGCAGTGGTGTTGGGTGCAGCGTAGTCCCAGCAGACGTACATATCGAAGGACCCATTACAGGTGAGGCCTGGAGTGGGCATAGGGACAGATGTCGGGTGGACCTGCTGCACCCTGTGCCCAATGCCTTAACATACACAAGCCCTGCCCTGGCCAGTTTGGCTCAGCGGTTAGAGCGTCGGCCTGCGGTCCGGAGAGACCCGGGTTCGGTTCCCGCTAAGGGCATGTATCTCGGTTGCAGTTTGTCCCCGGCCCTGGTTGGTCGTGCGGGTGGCAGCCACTTGATGTGTCCCTTTCACATCGATGTTTCTCTCTCTCTCTCTCTCCCTCCTGCTCTATCTGAACAAAGAATGAAAAAGTGTCCTCGGGTGAGGATAAAAAAAAAAAAAAAAAACATACACAAGCCCTTCCCTAAGCCCGCACTCCTGGAGTGGTCCATCCTTGCTTCGCCACAGCCCCGCCCATCAGACCCCAAAGCCCCGCCCATCAGACCCAAAGCCCCGCCCATCCTCCCAGCCCTACTCTGGGCTCCCCATCATGCAAGTTCCCGCCGCACAAGCTTCCCACTATTCAAGGCCCTTCCTAGGCTCCATCCCAAATCCTGCCCCCTTTGCAGGCCACTTCAGGCTCCACCCACCCAGCGCAGCCTTGCCCAAGACCCCGCCCATTCCAAGCTTCTTCCCAGGCGTCTCCCACTAACCCTAGTTGCATCACACTCAAGTCTAGGCCGTTTCTACCGAGGCCAAGTCCACCTAGGCCTCCCGGACCCAGCCCATGTCTACTCCAGACAACCCTTTCAGGCCCAGCCCGTTAGTCCTAGGACCGCCCCAAACCCACCCGCTGCAACCCCAGCCCTTCCCGTTCCCCCAGCCCACCCCTCCTGGGAGGCCCCGGCCACCTTCTCCCCAGCCACACCTGCTGGGGGCTCCGCGGCCTCCAGCGTCTCCTGGCATCTGCTGCGGTAGCGTTCCCACCGCTGGTACAGCTCCCCCGCCGTCTGCCCCTCCGAGCCGGTCTAGGGAAAAAGAGAAGGGAGGACTCCCCAACCGCTCCCCGCTCCCACGCAGCATGATTCCTGTGGGCCAGAAACCCGAGCGGGACTTGGAGAGGCTGTCCTGTTTGCCCAGGAGTCTTGGGTGACTGAGAAACCTCTTCTAACTCTTGAGGGGTGCCTAGAAACCACCAGGGGAGTTGCTGTGGGGGGCTGAAAACCTTCAGGAAAATTAGGGGACACGTTGGCTGGAAATCACCAGGAGGATTGGCGAGGAAAAGAAGACGGGCTGGAAGCAACTATCAAAACTTGAATCTGGGCAAGAGGGTCAGTCTTAAAATGCTCTCTGCAGTGGGGGAAGACAGCACGGTTCCCAGACCTCCCTCCGAGGCTTGAACTCGCGTGGCCCCTCGGGTCCTCACCTCCGCGCTCTGGAGCAGCGGCCCCCACAGCGAAAGCAGCAGTAGCAGCCTCCAGGGCGGACAGCGCGGCATGGTGAGGGCGGCGGGGCATGGGGCGCGAAGGGTCAGGTCCCGGGGCAGCCGGCCTGGAGGGTCCAAGGGCAGGGACAGAAGCCTCCGCCTTCAGCCCCCAGCCCCAGCGCCACCCGGCTCCGGGATTACACACGCGGAATCCGTGGCAGCGCCCCCCGCCGCCCCCACACGTGACGATTTGCGGGTGCGGGAGACGCGTGAGAAGGGGACGTGGCTGGGATCCGGCATGTGATTCCGGGGCCCACCCCTCGCTGTTGCTGGAGCAGAGGCGGGAAAAGGGGGGGGGGTGTTTGCTGAGGGCGTGGTTGCCTTAGAGCTGCGCTGGGCGGAAGTGCTAATGTCACCCGGAGTCTAGACATAGAGACTCCAGTGAACCTGGGGACTGGCTTGGAGGGGGAGGCACAGAAACCACCAGGCACGGAGCTTGAAATGACCCCCGGAGTTCCCACTCTGTGAGCCCAAACGGTTTTCAAATCGTGGTTAGGAACCTGACCTTATAAAACTTTCCCCGCTGTGGATAAAGCCCAGAGTCCATGGGACATCCCTCCTCTTAGGGACCAGAGCAGCGGCAGACCCTGGGCTTAGGTCTGCAGGGGCTCACATGCCTGGAAATCTAGATCCTCACACCCTCACCCAGACCAGGTAGGGAAGGAGAGACAGCCAGGAGCTCAGACCAGCCCACAGACAGAGTCAGAGATGCATGAGACAGAAATAGAGGCTCCGGGACTGAGATGGAAGACACACAGCAAGAGACCAGAGACCAAGAGGCAGAGAAGGAGACAAAAACGTGGGCTAAGAGAAAAGGAGGGGATAAAGCATGGAGAGACCAGGAACGGGGGAAGAAACAGGCACACACAGAGCTATTCAGAGGTTAGGAGAGACTGGGAGACAGAGACGAAGATAAGATACTGAGAGAGACACAGACACAGGACGTTAGAGACGGCACAGAGACAGAGGGAGACACAGGCATAGGCTAGGCAACTGGGAGCAAGGGACCCAGAGATCTGAGGGGGCCATGGGGCAGGGGGAATGGGCTGGGACTGGGGGAGCCCTCACCTGTCCTGCTGCCTCTGCTGCCTCCACTGCTCAGCCGGGGCTCTGGCCGAGGTGACAGGCAGTGGTGGTGGGAGGGGGCGGGGCCAGGGCTGGCCAGGGAACAGGGAGGGGGAGCTCTAGGGGAGCAGGGGGCCAGTCGCCTGTGAGTATCAGTCACTCAAGGTCACGTGGGAGAGCAGTCATAGAGTCATCATCCTGAGGACCACCCCCAGTGCAGTCTCGCACACTATCCCACCCAGACATCGCCCACAGAGTCTCAGGCAGTCACGAAATCACACACACAGTGTCGTACACAGTCCCATTAACAGACACAGAGAGGCTCAGCGCAGAATGTCACACACTGTTCCTCACAGAACATGTTCCTCATGTTCATGTACAGTCACAACCAGAGAGCCAAGGTCTCTCACCCACAGGTCGATGGTCATCCACAGTGACACGCAGCCACAGATCCTCGGGCTTGGACTCCTGCACTCTCACAATGACACAGTCACAACTTTCCACAGTTTCTGGTGACACTGTGTCAATCACACATTCACACAATCAGTAGGTCATGTCTCAAACACCATCTGTCTCCTCCCACTGGCCTGTGTGCCCCATGAAGACAGGGCCAGAGTGTCTCTGGGTCCCCAATGTCACTCAGCACAGTTTTGGGCACAGAGCAGAGAGGCTCCAAGAATGACTGTTGATGAAATAAGTGCACGGTTATGTGGTTCCTCCCATGGTCATATAATCCTTTAATGACACAATCTGAAGGTCACCCACAATGTTACATAGCCATACCCATTAACATGCTCATTCATCATGTCACACACTTCACACAGGCACCTACAGGGTCCACAGTGACATTCTAACAACACACGTTACCCAACTATTCTGACACACACGGTCTCACAGGCTCCCAACATCACATTGTCATACTGTCACCCTCACACAGTCACATCCAGCGCCATGGTTGTACAGATACACAATTCTCTCCCTCACTGCCTCACCCACACTCACAAGTCCCAAAGGCTCACACATCATCACCTCACAATCACACACAAACCCACAGCCTCCCACGATCTCATGGTCACAATCACCCTGACTCCCACATTCACAATCTCCACTTCCAGTCTCTTCCTTAAATATGAGGAACATCTGTACATTCGAGGGGAAGGCTTAGAGTCCCAGCGCTAGGCGCCCTCATCCCCTTTAATACTAATTACCAATGTATGCACATTAGTCACGCTATTTTTTAAAATCCTTATCTGAGGATATATATATATTTTTTTATCCTCACCCGAGGACACTTTTCAATATTTTGTTCAGATAGAGTGGAAGAGAGAGAGAGAGAAACATCGACGTGAAAGGGACACCTCGAGTGGCTGCCACCCACACGACCCAACCAGGGCCGGGGACAAACTGCAACTGAGGTACGTGCCCTTAGCGGGAACCAAATCTGGCTCTCTCGGGACCACAGGCCGACGCTCTAACCGCTGAGCCAAACCAGCCAGGGTCTGAGGATATTTTTTTACATTTATCTTCAGACAGAGGGAGAGGGAGAGAGAGAGAGAGAGAGAGAGAAACATTGATGTGAGAGACACATCAATTGGTTGCCACCCACATGACCCCAACCAGGGTTGGGGATGAACTGCAACTGAGGTACGTGCCCTTGGCGGGAATCGAACCCAGGACTCTTTGGTCCGCAGACTGACGCTATAACCGCTGAGCCAAACCGGCCAGGGCTTAATCACACTATGAACAGTCATGAGTACACACTCCCCTGGGACCTATAAGATAAGTGGGTCAGAGGCCTGTCAGCCCATTTTGCAGAGGAGAAACTGAGGCCCAGAGGTACCAGTAGGGACAGGGAATAAGGGGTGGTGTGAGGTTCAGCCACAGAGGCTGGAAGGAGAAAGTCTGGGGGAGGGGAGTAACACGAGGGGGGAGGGGTCCTGACTTCCTGGCCTCCAGCTGGCCTTCCTGCTCTCTGCCCCACATTCCTGGCGCCCTCTGGGTCCTGGGAAAGGCTCAGCTCACGGGGTGGAGAGGGAAAGGGATCTGAGATTGCCCAGCACCTCAGGGAGGTTGCGAGGGAATTTCTTGTTGGCCCTCAGATGGTCTGGGGGTGTCTCTCTGCTAGGGCTAGGAAGGAGGGGGGAGGCTGGAATTGGGGAGGAGACAGGAGGGAGGGGAAGCAGTGAACAAGAATTGAGGTGATGAGAGAAACAGGAAGAGAATCCAAGGCTCAAGAAAGAACAGAGTCAGGCAGAGACAGGAAGAGATGGAGATGAGAAAGACCAAGAGAAAGAGACAGACCAAAAGAAACAGGCAGAAAGAAATCAAAATAGAAATACGCAGGGAAAGAAAGAAAGAGGAACCAGAGGAGAGAGAACAGGGACTAAGAGAGGGAGAGAGAGAAGAGAGACAAACTGAGAGATGGAGACATTGAGAGATGAAGATGGGGAGGGGTGGAGGGAGAGAAAGCCTGAAAGACGGGGCTCTGGGGAGAGATGACAAAGGCAGGAGCATTGGAGATGAGCCTGATGCTGGGCTCAGAGCCCCGAAGCCCTCCGTCACCCCTCTGGGAGAACACAGGACGGAGCAGAGCACAGAGCGGCAGGGGTGTGGCGGGCAGAAGGGGGGATGCCTGAGTCCCTGCTGACCCCCTCGTCTGCCTCAGCCTTCCTGGGGTCCTCTGCAGTTCCCCAGGATCAGGGAGGGGACAGCGGGGCCATAGGGATAGCCACATGCTCAGAGCTCTGGAAAGTGCAGGCAGAGAAACAGCCTCTCCCCTGCCCTCTCTGCTGCCCATCTCTCCCCTGCCTCTCTCTCTCTCTCTCTCTCTCTCTCCTCTCTCTCTCTCTCTCTCTGGTCCGAGAATCTTTCTTTCTCCTTTTCTCCAAGCCCACCCTCAGTTTGTCTTCCTCTCCTGCTTGCCGGGTTGTCTTTCCTCGTTTCTTCCCGCCCATTTCATTCTGCTCCTCTGCTTATGTCTCTTGTTCTCTCGCGTTCTCCGGATCAGCCTCTTTTTGCCCATCTTTAAACTTTCTCCTTTCTCTTCCCCCTTTCCCCACCTTCTTACTGAGTGCCTGTCTGTCTGATTCTCTCCCTCCATGGCCCCTGGTCCCAGGTTTCCAGGCTGTCGTCCACCTCCCAGCAATGACCAGGCGATGCCCCCAGCTCAGGATGCAGGGGTGGGGAGGAAGCTGGAGGGCCTGTGCCTCCCTCCTGGGGCTGCCCAGCCAAGCAGAGCCCGAGGAGCAGGCAGGGGCCTGGAGTGCCGGCAGATGGTGCAGGAGAAATGAGGCAGAGAGGGATGGGGAGATGGCATGCCCCATGGGGACTGAGGCCAGACGTGGGAGGCTGAGCCAGCCCCCTGAGATTCAGGACTGCTGAGCGGAGGCCTGAAAGACAGACCCAGACACACACACACACACACACACACACACACGCAAAGACAGACAGAGATACAGAGAGTAAGAGACAGCAATGGAGAGAAAGAGACTGAGAGGGACATACTCACAAACATGGGTATCCAGAGAGATGCCGAGACAGGACAGACTGAGAGCCTGTGACACGGGTGCATATGATCCAGCGAGACAGAGCGACAATGCTCCAGAGACAGGGACACGCACACTCACACAGTCTAGAGAAAGACAGGAACTCTCGCCAGGAAGAGACAGAGATCCAGAGACAGGGGCCTAGAGAGAGGAACACAATAAAACATGGTCTCTAGGAGAGAGACAGAGATAAAGATCCAAAGAGATACAGAGACATGGAGCCAGGAAATCCAGAGAGACACAGTGCCATGGAGAAACATAGAGGTAGGGAGAGAGAGAGAGAGAGAGAGAGAGAGAGAGAGAGAGAGAGAGAGAGAGAGAGAGACCCTTGAGAGAAAGGTGTCCAGAGAAACAGAGAGAGATGGGAGAGAGTTGGAACACAGATAGATGCAGATAGGGGTAAACTCTC